GGAATAACGGGGATTTATGGGGGAAGGTGTTTTTTCTGAGCTTAGGCTTGGGATTTTGGGAATATGGTGTTACAGGGATTTTGGGCTTGAGATTTTGGGCTAAGGAATAACGGGGTTTTGGGAATATGGTTTTCGGGATTTTTTGGCTTGATATTTTGGGCTGAGATTTACGGGTTGTGATTTGGCATATGGGTATAACGGGGTTTTGGGAATATGGGTTCGGGATTTTTTGGCTTGATATTTGGCATATGGGTATAAAGGGGTTTTGGGAATATGGTTTCGGGATTTTTTGGCTTGATATTTGGCCGCCGAGTTGGCGAAATGGTTCCATAGATTAGTGGGGCAAGGTGTCTTGTAAGTAAAGAACCTCCCTTTTTAGGGCTTCTGCTTAAAATTATGATCTCTCTTTCTTTATATATATATATATATAAGAGTCCTAAAAAGGCAGGTTATTCGGGGTTGAGGCCAACCCTAAGCCCTGATTCCTAGGTTTGCGCTTTGCAGTAGGGTTTGGGACGTAAGGTGAGTGGACCCCGGAATGGCTTCGGTGCAGATATATATATATATATATATATATAATATATATATATATATACACACACACACACATGCCGGTGAGTTGAGGACTGCTTGTAGCGCATACATGGACCCCAAATGTAGGTAGAGAAATCATAGTTCTTCATAGGTTTGGGGCCATGATTTTGCCTGCCTTTTTTTTTGGGGGGGGAGGTAGCCTAAACCGAACATGGAAGATCCCCACCTTCCGCAAAGAAACAAAGCCCTATATCGTGGAGCCCTGAACGATGGAGAACCAAAGCCTTAGAGCCGCATCCAATATAGAAGCCGAAGCAGTCATCAACATTATCATTATGATTATGATTATTATTATTATGGTTATTATTATTATTATTCCTGAGGGTTCCTTATTACAAGTATACTGTAAGCCAGATTTCGAATGGGTGAGCGGCCGAGGTGCAGTTTCGGGAGGCTTTCCCGAAGTTGGAGTTGAAGGTGAGTTTCGATGACCTGCGAAGAAGTCCCGCAGTGACCAAAGCAGAGACAGGGTTCTGGTTCAGGGCTTTTACTTCAGGCTTATGCAACGGCCTTAGTAGTTCATTAGAATAGGGGCTGGTGTGTATTAATACATGGTGCCTGTAAGCCACCTAAAACCGTTGTAGACCCTAAACTCACGGCACAAGCCTAAACCGGAGACCCTATACCAACCCCTAGGCCCTAAACCCTAAACCCCAAGCCAGACCTCTACAAGCCAGACCTCTACCTCAGGTCTTAGGTGTTGCTTTCGTTGTTTCTATGTTGCCTTGTCTTTCTATTCTTCCGAGGAGTGGGGTTCCGGTTTCAGGGTTTAGGTTTAGAGTTGATGGGTGTAGGGTTTAAGATGTAAGTTTTAGGGTTTAGGGTTCTGTGTTGTTGTTTGCAGGCCTGGGGCTTGGCGGTTTTAGATTGAGGGGGTTTGGGTGTGGCACAAGATGTATATTTAATAGTTCAAAGCCTCGGTTATCTTCATCCCTCGGAACCTGATTCTCGAGGCGTCTGTGCAGATTAGATTTAGGGTCTAGTGGGTCCAAGGTGAAGGAAGGAAGTTCACAATTACTAGTAAGAGCTTGCTCCCTGAACCCTACAGTCTCCCAACCAGCCCGAAATCGGAATTTGAAGCAACTTAGTTAGGCCGGAAGCTCTCTCTAACCTCGAGCCGAGCCTGTCAATCTTACGACCCTTTAGTCAGGCCCCTGCAACCCTGCATCCCACTCACCCTGAACCCTAACCCTGCCAAGCCCGAAGCCCTGAACCCCTAAATCCTAAACCCAAACCCTGGCAAGGACTGATCCCCACACACCGAGCCCTAATATAGGGGCCTCACTGATTACCTGTACTACTTTGGGGGTTCCTTACTATAATTATAGTATAATGGGCCCCAAAACCCTCTTCTACTTATCAAGGCCCCTATTATAAAACCCTATCATAGATCCCTTATAGAGCACTTAAGAGGCTCCTTTATTGGAACCTTATTCAAGGCCCCGACATTACTTAACCCTTAAACCCCTAAACCCTATAAACCCTAAACGCTATAACCCCTAAA